CAGGGTGCATCAGCAGCTGGGACATTTCGGGCATGTGAGGACCACCCAGCTGGTCAACACAGGGTGGTGGTGGGCAGGCATGGCACGACAGATCCGAGAGCATGTGGGGCAGTGCGAGGCCTGTGATCGCAACCGAGCCCAGCTGGAGCGAAGCCAGCAGCAGCTGCAGTCCCTGCCCATCCGCGGGCTGGGATACAGATGGTCCCTTGACATGGCGGGGGAATTACCCTTGAGCCGCCGAGGCAAGAAGTACATCTTGGACATGATCGAGCACGTCAGCAAATGGGTGGAGGTGCGGGCTCTCAGCAGCAAGAGCGCGGCTCTGGTCACGGAGGCGTTCACTGAACAGGTCCTCACCCGGATGGGAGCATGTGGGGAGGTGCTCACCGACCAGGGCACGGAGTTCCGCGGAGAATTTGACCGAGCACTGACTGCAATTGGGATCACGCACCGCAGGACCTCCCGCTACCACCCTCAAGCCGACGGGCTTACGGAGCGGATGGTCCAGACCCTCAAGCGAGGCCTGCGGGCCTATGGGGAGGCCCACCGGCGTACGTGGGACGAGGATCTGCATTGGGTGGCGGCTGGTTACCGCTTCAGCAAGCAAGCAGCCCTTCGGGACGTCTCCCCTTACTACCTGCTGTATGGACGGGAACCTATCCTGCCAGTGGGAGCACCGCGGGTGCTCACTGATGTCGTGACCGCCGGCGCGCCCGAGCTATGGGCCGCGCTGGCGAAAGCACGAGGGTATTATCTGCGAGCCCTCCTCCCCTCAGCCATGGAGAATCTCCATGTGGCGCAACTGCGCGATGCACACAGGTATCAGCAGCGGCTGGGTGGTCAGCGCACAGCCGGGGCAGACCCGCTGCAGCAGGGGCACGAGGTGTACCGTCGCACGGCACGTCAGCATGTCCTGGATCGCGGTCTTAGCGAAGAACGGTGGAAGGTGGATGGGTTAGTGAGAGGTCGTGCTCGATCAAGCAGGTCGTGAGAAGTAAGTCAAGGTGGGCATAACGCAGAGAGCGATAGAGGGAGTGTCACCATCGTGTACAGAGCAAGCAGATGCGGTGCAGTACAAGTCAACACGCCAATCACATCAGAGAGAGCTGCAGGAAGGCCGGGGGAGCCTCGAGATTTCCGACAGGCAACAACTCCACGGAGCCTGAATCGGACGAGGAGGAAGAATAGGCCTAAGGGTAGACTAGGCATGATGATGGTGTTTAGGCTAGGACAGTAGTAACCATACTTGTATGCGATTGTTTTGGTTAATGGAAATTTTTGGTAATATAGGCTAGGTAATTTTAAAAAGAATAAACAAAAAAATATTAAGTATGTTTTTTTTTTTTATATAGCAGGGGTGCGCTTATAATAAGTAACGTTTTTTGAAGGGGTGCGCTTATAATTGAGGATCGGCCATAAGCGCATTGCTCCAGATAGAAGCGCATGCGCTTTTAATAGGCCTGCGCTTATCTCCGGGGTGATACAGTATATGAACTCAGTAGCATTTACAAAGTGTGCAGAAACCACCCAGGGGCGAGATTCATTGAAGTCGGCCGACCTTGGTGGTGGTGCTTGCGTCGCCACTACATGCCACGTGAGGGATGCAACAAAGTTGCTTGTGCTGGCAACATCCCTCCCTGCTGGCAGCATATAATGATGATGCCAGTGTCGTTTGCTACGAGCAACGCATGGATGCTTCCAGAACGCTGCTTGCAGCACGATGGCAGTGGTAGAGCTGTCATGTGATGTCCTCTACAAGGAAATTCCTCATAGAGGAGCGGTTCGGCGACCTCAGGAGGGGGCACTCTGGCCTGGGGGGTACCGTAGTCGAGTTGGGGCTTCATTTTCTGCTAATGGAGATTGAGAATGGCTCAACAAATGCTCTCGGCAGGCTGAACCATGCATAGCAAAGTCCCTGTAGGCTCGGCATACCCTCGCTCTCACGTGCAGGTTGACAACTATGGGCGCATCAACTCGCCCGGTGATGACATTCGTGTAGCTATGGCGAAAGAGATGCGCAAGCCGGCATCCATGGCGGGATGCTTTAACGCTGGCTCAGGTGCGAGCTGTGACGAGGACGACGGCGACAAAGACCATGGCGACGAGGGCGCGGAGGATTGGCCGGAGAACGGGCACAACGACAGCGCATCGGGTGAGGACGTACCTGCTGGCGACATCGACGATGACGACTGCTGGAATTGGCCGATTGGTTCCGGCGACGAAGTGGAAGAGTGGCGCGTCAGCGACTCGGACAACGACAGAGGCGCGGATGCGGATGCAGATCGTGAGGAGGATGGTGATGCGGCTGCGGATGCAACGGTGCAAGCCCTTGCGGCGGCGACTGAGGATGTGCCTGCGGGAGCGACAGCGGATGCGGATGCGGATGCAGATGACGAAGCGGATGCGGATGGGGAGGCGGATGCGGAGGCGGATGTGGAGGCGGATGCGGAGGCGGATGCGGAGGTGGATGCGGATGCGGATGCCGGTGCAGTCGCGGATGCGGATGCCGTTGCGGTCGTGGATGCGGTTGCGGATGTGGGTGGTGTTGATGCTGGTCGGGATGCCGTCTTCTCCGAAGGCAAAGAAGACGAAGACGACCCATGGCGCATCACCAACGACAAGGTTCCTGTGTTGAAGAGGAAGCTGCGTCATCGCCTCGGCGTCCGCACTAAACGCCCAAGGGTGGTGCTCTCGGACGGGGACAGCCCGGCGGAGGAGCATCGACCGCCCCTCGGTGCTGCAGACAAGGGGAAGAGAAAGGTCGTAGAGGTCCCTGCTAAGGCTGACGGTCGGCGCCGCACAAGCAACAAGAAGCGGAAGAGTGATGGCGACCCGGGTTCCAGCAAGGGTGCGAAGAGAAGAAGCCCATGAAGGACAAGGATGATATCGTGGTCGACGAGGCGCCCCATTCCTTCATACCCCGAGAAGGCTAAGCCTAAAGACCCCACCATCCGGAATCCTGACTCCTGTCCCCCTTCCTTACGCAGTCGCGGGCTTGAAAGGACCAGGCGATCTTGGAGCGTGCGTGAGAAACTGAAGTGGGCACGACGCTACCAGGATCTCGGCTACCTCAAGAAGACCTCCGCCGAATCATTCGCCTCCATCGCGTGCATCTACGCTGGAGTGCGCAGGCTGCAGCGGGCATGTACAAGGGTGCGGCGAACTGCCGCAAGCATATGCACGGGGCGGGCCAGCACTACCGACATGGAGGCGACGTTATACATGTACATCTGCTTGCAGTGCACGAATGGGGGCGATCTCGGTGAAAGACACGCAGAAGTGGAGACGCGAGTGGATGAAGAAACACCACCCCGGGAAGAACTAGAACGCGAGCTCGCACTGGAGCCAACGTTTCCACGACCGCTGGAACTTGGTCATGCGTGTGAAGACCAAGGTTGGTCAACGGATGCCGGCTGGTGAGTGGTTTTTTTTTTAGAGTTCACACTGGATTGTCAAGTGTATGTGCCCGTTGGTTCTACAGACCTCACATGTTCAACCGTTGTCTCTTTTTGTGCGTTTTATTTGCTTGACAGAGTGCGCGAAAGACTGTGAGGCGTTCTGTAAGTTCGTGAGGATCAACGGGGTGCGGCACAACAATGACATGGCCCACATCAACACGGACCAGGCGCCTCTCTTTGTTGAGATGCCGGCCGAGAGGACGATTGATCACCGTGGCGCGTGCTCTGTCCTGATGCGCACGGCTGGATACGAGAAGGCGTGGCTCACAATGATGCTCGCGTGCACGTCATCTGGGAAGAAGGTGCGGCCGTGGGTTTGGTTTAAGATGAAGAACGTGCCGAGATGTGACATTCCGGAAGGTAAGCAAACTGAAGTTCAGTTTCCCCGCCTCTCCCTCTGGCTGAACTTCAGTTTCCCTGTCTCTCCTTCTTGGCTAACACCCGCGTCTCCCTCTGTGCCTGGTAGGAGTCGTGGTCCAAGCACAGGATATCGGGTGGATGGACGAGAGCGCTGTGCATACTTGGCTGGCTAAGGAGGTGCTGCCCCATCTCAACCCCCAGCATGGCCAGAATGTGAGGCGTGAAATGCTGGTGTTGGACCCTACCAAGGCTGTTGTTCAGGATCCGTCACTTTGAGAGCTTACGACGAATTTATTACTCAACTAAACGCTAATCCGCTCGGTAGGATTGTGCGCCTTAGGCTTAGCTACCATCTCCAAGTTAAATCAGTCGTTAAGATGGTCTATAGAGTGAGAACCAGTTGAAAACGTCCAGCAGCCGCATGACTAGAATGGTGGAGGAAGTACAAACATGAAGGCATAGAAAGTTGGAGTTGGGGACTCCAAGAGAACCATGAGAGGGAAGGGGTTCTCCAAGAGCTAGGAAAGGATGGTAGGAACCTTCCTAGCAGCAAGGATGCAACCCTCATCATGAGGTCCTTGAGGTGTCACATGCAAAATCCAATCTAGTTGGATTTTGCCTAGGTGTTGCAACATTTGCAACCCATGCTAGAAACTTCTAGCCACCCCAATCCAAAAGTCCAAGTTGCCTTCCCTAACCACCCAACCAAAGATCTCCTTTATAGTCATGTCCAAGTAATCACCCAAATTAGATATAACCCCAAAAGGAAATAAAGAATTCCAAGTCTTGGAAATCTTGTAACTTGGGCGATCTTGGTCGGAATAAGGCGATCTTGGTATCGTTGGAAAGCTCTGAATTTCTCCTGCATGATCAAGCATTTAAACTTGGAGAAAAACACAGAGATGATAATATCCAACAGCCATGCACAATGACATATCCTCATGCAAACAATGCACGCATGAATAGCACGAGCACTCGGCAGGATGTTAGGATGACATGCACTCAGAATGACGTGCATCCAACAAAGGCCACGTCACCCAGGGCATGCTACAAGCCTATCGCACGCACAGCATCACCGCTGCCGTAAGCGCTGCCGGTTGCACCAGCCAAATTTAACCCCTTGACGTCTCTATTAACAGGTGCTTCAAGGCAGCGGTGCAAGCACGCTACGCCAGGTGGTTCATGCGTGAAGGGATTCACCTCAAGACGAAACACTGTGAGTACCCCTGTTACCCCTCGATGTCATGAACTTCACCCATGTTACCCCTTGATGTTTCTAACGGCACGCTGCCCCTGCCTCTAACCCACCCGCAGGGAACCTGAGGAGGCCTCCGCACTCCGTGGTGCTGCAGTGGATCGTGGAGGCGTGGGATCAATTCTCCAAGCAGGTCATCATTGATGCGTTACGCCACTGTGGGATATCAAGCAAGCTGGACGGGACTGAGAACCACCTGGTGATGTCGCACCTGCGCGCGAGGAGCACCACCGATGTCTCCAAAGACATATGCCTCGGGGGAACCACCAGCGACAACATGCGCCTGCTTGGGCAGGCTACGAAGGAGGAGGAGGAGGAGGAGGAGGAGGAGGAGGAGGAGGAGGAGGAGGAGGAGGAGGAGGAGGAGGAGGAGGAGGAGGAGGAGGAGATGCAGCGGGAGGGCATCAAGGAGGTTGGCGTGGCAACAGGGCTGGAGGTGCTGTACTTGGAGACCCCCAACTACCTTGGAGCGGCGGCCGAAGGCTGACCGCATGATCGAGCCCAGGCAGACGGCAAGGCACGCATGTCGAGTGCCAGATTGGGGGGCAGAAGCCTGCATCTGCAGTGCAGATGAGGAGGGCGTTACCGAAGGGGGCTGGGTAGAAGTGGTAAAACCCTCAATGTATACAAGTACCCCCCTTAATGCGAGAAGAACCGTTTAGAAGACCCCCCCTCTTTATAAGATAACCCCTGAACCCTAGTACTGCTTACAAGACACTACCTTAACTCGTACACGCGTGTAGGTATCTTATAAGCAGGAACACCCAACTGTAAGACACACACGTTTTAAAGACACCCCCTATCTTCAATTCGACACCGTCTTATATCCGTGCGATGACGGTAACGATTTTTAATTTGGGGGCGAGGCCACAACAATTTTTGCTTCGATTGGCTCTCATTCTGCGCGTCCAGTGAGTATGAGCTGGCGTTCCTACAAAGTGATGTGTAACTTTTGTCACAAAGTAAGAGACAAGGATGACTAGAATGAGAACAATACAAGGTTTGTATAGGCAAAACCTAACAGGGCTGTACCCCATGAGGAGTGCTCCACTACAGCCTAGAGTATAGTTCTGACACACCCCCATAGGCAAAGTGGGGGACAAGCAAGAGAACAAGGCAAGGTCAAGCTCAGGGTGGATCACGACGTCACCACGCATTCTGAGCACAAGAAAAAGGCCACAAGGCCAGTTCACATGTAGAGTTATATATCAAGGTGAACAAGCAGTACAGTGATCTCAACCTAACAAGTGTAAGCATGCAGGTGCAGGTATATATAGATCACAGTACAAGCAAAGTCAAGAGGTGAGCAAGTGAGGCCAGGTAGGCACAAGACCTAACAGAGTACAGAAACGCTGATGATCACAAGGCTGAAGTGCCTTGGTAAAGATATCAGCAGTGTTGGCCCGAGTGGCCACGTAAGCAAGACGAAGTTGACCACGCTGCTGCAACTCTCGAGCAAGGAAGTAGCGTAGAGCGATGTGCTTCGTTCTGTGCTCCAGTCTGTGCTCCTGACACAAGGCGATCATGGCCTTGTTGTCGACGTACAGAACTGGAGGAGAACGAGGCGGCTCTCCCAAGTCGGTCGGCAGGTAGGTGAGCCAGCGTAACTCCTATGCAGTCATGGCCCCTGCGTAGTTCTCAGCTTCACAACTGGAGCTGAGAACAGAAGACGAGCGGGTAGACCGCCACAAAACAGAGCCGGAACCAAGGCTGAAGGTGTAACCCTGTGACGACCGCTGCGTAGCCAAGTCATCAACCCAAGAAGCGTCTGCGTGACCAGTGAGGACAACTCGAGCCCGTCCTCCAAGCACGAGCCCCATGCCCGACGTACTGCACAGGTAGTGCAACACCCTCTTAGCTGCATCCATGTGCTCTGGTCGGTGTCTCCCAGGAGCAACATAGCGTGCCAGGATGCTAAGAGGGTATGCCAGGTCAGGTCGAGTGCAGGTTATCAGGTACATGAGGCAGCCCACAAGATCTGGGTACGTGCCACTCGGCTCTACGAACTCATCCGAAGGCAGAGCTGAGAGCGAGTGGCGAGTAGACAGAGGAGTGGCTTGAGGCGAGGAGTACGTGAAGTTGAAGCGCTGAAGGACCTGCTGCACCATGTGTGACTGAGTCAAGGAAATGGTGCGCCGTGCTCTGTCCCGGGTCAAGATAGCTGCGCAGCTCACCCAGGTCTGTGCATGGGTTTCTCTTCTGTAGCTCCGACTTCACGTGGGCCAGTCCAGCAGTGTCAGCAGTAGCAAAGACCAAGTCGTCGACGTACACGAGGATGTAGAACGGCGGCAGAGTAGTGTCGGTGCGTATCGACGGGTCAGCAGTCGAAGGAGCAAACCCAAGAGCCGCAAGGGTGGTCCTCAGTGTGTCGTGCCACTCACGGGGCGCCTGGCGGAGACCGTAGACTGGCCGCCGGAGGCTCCACTGGGTACCAGGAGGAAACGACCCAGTGAAGCCAGGTGGGCGGCACAGCCAGATCTCCTCGTGCAGGCTGCCCTGTAGGAAGGCTGTGCTGAAGTCAAGAGAGTGAAGCTCGTAGTCACGCTGAGCGGCGACGTGCAGCAGCACCCGAAGAGTGGTCATCTTCGGGGTGGGGGAGAAGGTCTGAAAGTAGTCAACTCCCTGCCGCTGACTGAAGCCTCGAGCAACGTAACGCGCCTTGAAGACAGGCGGAGAACCCGGCGGCCGCTTCAACCTGAAGATCCACATGCCATCGACAATGTTCGCCCCAGGTGGGGGAACCTCGTCAACGTAAGTGCCTGTGGACTTCCAGAAAGCCATCTCTGCGTCCATGGCTGTCTGCCACTGAGAGGAGTAGGGACCCTCTATCGCCTCTGCATAAGAGCGCGGGGTCGGGATGTCTGGTGCATCCGGGTCTCCCTCAGGGTCAAGCAGCATGGACACGAGATGAGGTAAAGCAGCAGCAAAACACTGGAACTCCTCCTGCCTGTCCTCAAGGACGTCCGTGCCAAGAGCACGCTCACCCCCGACGGACGGAGGACGGACAGACTCAGACTCAGCAACAAGACTAGCGGCGTAGTCTAGACGACAGTGAGCAGCAAAGTCGACAAGCTCAACAACAAGAGCCGACACAGCAGTAGACTCAAAATAAGGGTCAGTGACAACAGTGGCCAGGAGACGCGTGACAGTAGGACTAGCAGCACGAAGGGAGTCAGATTCGGGGTCTGGACCGACAGCAAGGGAGGACGCAGGAGGAGACGGAAGAGGGACACGCTGCGGAGCAGTGGAAGGACGCAGTGCCATCTGGTGCGTGCCGGGGACAGGAGGAGGACGCTGACGTGGAACACGACGACCAGTGAGAGCAGCATGAACAGGCGACGCAGGACGAGACTCAGGCTCACGACGCTCCGTAAGACCTCCGGTCGGACCAGTGTAAGGAGAAGGACCAGGCAGTGGGGAGGCTGGCGGTAACTGCGACTGCGACTGGACAGGCAGTGGACACTCTAAAGAAGGACCAGGACCAGTAGAAGGCGGGAGACCAAGAACGTGCTGAAGGAGCGGAACGAAGTACGGCCGCGGCCGCGTAGCACCTCCAGAACGAGCAGAGACAGCACCAGCACCCCCAGCGGCAGCTCCAACTCCTGCAGCACCACCAGCTCCAGCAGCACCTCCAGCAGCTCCAGCAGCGCCAACTCCAGCACCTCCAGCAGCTCCAGCTCCAGCAAGACCACCAGAAGCCCCAGCAGCTCCAGTAGCGCCAGCTCCAGCACCTCCAGCAGCACCAGCTCCAGCAGCACCACCAGGCCCAGCAGCTCCAGTACCTCGAGTACGAGCACCTCCGGGACCAGTGGCTCCACAACCCCCAGCAGCTCCAGCAGCAGCAGGTCCTCCAGTACCCGTAGCACCACCTGCTCCAGCAGCACTGTCGGAACTCACCTCCTTCCCCCCAGTCTGCCAGCATCTCTCTCTGCTCATCTGCTCTTTCTCATTGCTCTCGTGCTGCTCCACTCTTGGCACTCTTCCTATTATGACCTGTCCTCTCCCCCTCACTCCTGCTGGTACTCCGCCTCTCCCCTTCTGCACTTCTGTCCCTGGTCTCACTTCTCCTGCCTTGTTGGTTCTCTTTGGTATCCACTCACTCTTGCCCCCTCCCATGACCCTTTTCAGCCGTCCTCGCCCTGGTCATGGGACCCTGATACGCCTGTCCCTGCTTGCCCTTGCCCGCCACCGCCACATTCGTCACATGATCCATGACTCTCTTCCCCTTCTCATCCTCTAGCACCAGCACTCCTGACTCTCTCACTTCCCGGACCGTCCACCTCTGATGGGACACCCCCAGGTCCAGCCCATCCCGCTTTGCCCTCCGCACGTATACCTCCTGTCCTTCCTCCAGGCTCGGATCCTTCTGTTGCATCTTTCCCAGCTGCCTCTGTCTGTATCGGTGGATGTCTCTCAGCTGAGCCACCTTCAGGCTCTCCATTGCTGCGGGCAGCATCTTCTTCAGGTACACGGCTCTGGCGTCTGCCAGGGCTACCCATTTCTCTGCTGTCTGTGCTAACACTGTGTCTGTCAGCAGTCGTGGCGCTCCCACCGGCAATATAGGCTGCTTCCCGAAGAGCAGATAGTAGGGGGACACGTCCTTCAGGGCGGCCTGCTTACTGAATCGGTACCCCGCCATCACCCATGCCAGCCGCTTATCCCAATCCCCCTTGTGAGCTTCTCCGTACACCCGCAACCCTTTCATCACAGTCTGTACTAGCCTCTCTGTCAGGCCGTCTGCCTGCGGGTTGTACCTGGAGGTGGTGCGGTGCTGGATGCCGTTGGACGCCAGCAGCTCATCGAACTCCCCTTGGAATTCGGTGCCTTGATCAGTCAGGACCTCTCCACACGCCCCAAACCTCGTCAGCACCATCTCTTCAAATGCCTCTGCCACGGCCGCCGCTGTCTTGTTCACCAATGCCCGTGCCTCTGCCCACTTGCTTACGTGCTCTATCATGAGCACGATATACCTCCTTCCCCTCCTACTCACAGCCAGCTCTCCGGCTATGTCTAGTGACCACCTGTATCCGAGCTCCACGATTGCCAGCGGCTGCAGTTCTGCCTGACTTTTCAGCAGGGTTGCTTTGTTCCTGCAGCAGAGCTCACACTTCTCCACCCATTCCTTCACCTCCTTCCAAATTCCTGCCCACCACCATCCTGTCTGCAGCAGCTGTTGCGTGCGCAGCGGACCGTAGTGCCCTAGCTTCTCATGCACCTCCTTAATGATCCCTTCCCGCTCCCCTGGCTCTGGCACCCTCTTCCATCCATCTTTGGTCCTCAGCTGCACCTGTCCCTGGAACCACCTATAGTGCTGCTCCCTTGCCCGGGCCCTGGACCCTGCTCCTCCGTCCTCGGCTGTCTCTCCCTTTATCCATGCCAGTGTCTCGGCGTCCTGCCAGACGTCTGCTGCCCCTCTCTTCTGTTCTCCTCCTGACCCCTTCTCCTTGATCATGGCGGTCAATGCTGCTGCGGGTGGCTCCGGTTCTG